CCAAGGCTGAGTCATCGTTGGTTGATTGGATTCCGGTGAACAGCCGTTTATGTGCAGCCCGTTTGACGATATCAGCTAAGGTGAATTCGCGAACTAAAACAAAACACTGTTTGTTTGTGATTTCTGCTTATGCTCGCACGGACTGCAGTTCTAATGCAGTCAAGGACACTTTCTATCACGAACTGAACACGCTGCTACGCAGTGCTACTAGTTCAGATATTATAGTACTTGCAGGAGATATGAACGCACAAGTAGGGCGTCTGAGCTCTTCAGAAGCTCAGCTGGGTGGTAAGTATGGACTTAACGCCGAACGGACTGACAACGGCGAGCGTCTGCTGCAACTGTATGCGGAGCACCAGTTGTTTCTTACTAGCACTGCTTTTAGACACAGTGGGCGCCGAAGTGCCACTTGGCGTCCACCTGTAGCTGGTCAGCGATGGACCCAAATTGACCACATAGCCATAAGTTACAGGTGGCGCGGTTCCATTCTGGATTGCCGTTCGTACTGGAGTACTTGTGTCGACTCTGACCATGCCTTGGTGCGCTGTCGTTTCTCCATGAACTTTACCGGAAGGCGCACAAAGCGTCTCTCCCGATTGGCAACGGAGAAATTGTCCCATCACTCTGTCAGGCAAGCCTATCAAGAAGCACTGCATACCGAACTTCCGCAGTCTTGTCCTAATGATACTGAACTTCAGTGGAATAGGATCTCGGCCACTATGCACGACGCAGGAGCATCTGCTTGTGGCACTATCAGTCGTCATCGCACCAGTCACTGGATATCCGAGAGGTCCGTGAACCTTTTGGAAGCTAGAAGGCACCTCCCGGCTGGTTCTGAACACAATGTGACCAGAAGGGCTATTAGGCGTGAACTAAAGCAGAGCCTACGTGCTGACAAGGAAGCCTGGTGGACCAGTCGGGCTCAAGAAATGGAGGAGGCAGGAGCAGTAGGCAATTACCGGAAGCTCTTCCAGCTAATACGCACCACTGGTCCGAGAAAACCAGGCGTCAGTGAGACAATCAGGGACAGCGCGGGTGCGCTGATACACAATAAGGAGCGCCGTATGGCTCGTTGGGCTGAGCACTTTGAACATCAGTTCAGTTGGCCCCCTGCTCCCGGACCTCTTCCTACTCAGGTGATGCAGGACGAGCCATGGACGGTTAGTTTAGAGCCTCCGTCGGAGGCCGAGGTCCGAAACGCGATCACAGCCCTCAATCGTTTTCGTGCCGCTGGCCCGGATTCCCTCCCACCTGCACTATTTAAGGATGGAGGTGAGGTCCTCTGCAAAGCACTGACCTCCCTATTCGAACGTATCTGGAACGAAGAGAGTGTGCCGGCTAATTGGAGCGAATCGATTATAGTGGCAATATACAAGAAGGGCAGTCGCACAGACTGTGCGAACCACAGGGGTATTAGCCTAACGCCAGTTGTGACAAAATTACTGGCCTCGATTATCGTTCGTCGCCTCACTGCAGAACGGGAATCTCGGATTAGGGAAGAGCAGGCCGGTTTTCGCCCAGGACGTGGCTGTATAGACCATTTATATTTACTTTGCGGCAGGTGCTAGAGCAGCGCCACGCATACCGCTGATCGACAATAGCTGTGTTCCTCGCTTTCAAAAGTGCGTTCGATTCAGTCGATCGATCGATTCTGTTCGAAATACTTGCGCGGAAAGGTGTTCCCACGAAATATGTGAACATCCTTCGTGCTCTATACTCGAACACTAGAGGCCGCGTCAGGGTCTATGGTGCCCTATCGGATAGCTTTTCGACTACAAGTGGCGTTCGACAGGGTTGCCCGATTTTTCCATTTTTGTTCAATTTCGTCGTGGATTCTATCATGGAGTGTTCCCTTGCGGAATCTCACGATGTAGGTGTTGAAGTGCTGCCTGGTGAACGGTTAGTTGATCTAGATTATGCGGACGATATCGTCTTGCTTTTCGACAATGTTGAGGCGGCACAATCAACCCTGAATAGCCTATCCAGAGTGGTCCCATTATTTGGTATGCACTTCGCACCTTCAAAGTGCAAAGTGTTGCTGCAGGACCACCAGCCACTCGATGACCCCTTGACGCTTGATAACGAGGAACTCGAGGTGGTTGATCAATTCACTTATCTTGTCAGCTGCATCAGCAATTATGGGCGCATAGAAACTGACGTGAGCTCACGCATTGCAAAGGCCAGAGCTGCCTTCTTGAACCTGCGTCATCTTTGGCGACAGAAGGGAGTTTCCCTCCTTCTGAAAGGCCGTGTATACAAGGCCACAGTGAGGGCCGTTCTGCTGTATGGTAGTGAGACTTGGCCCCTTCGGTCTGAAGATCTGAGGCGCCTTCAAGTCTTTGATCATCGTTGTTTGCGAAGCATTGCTGGTGTCGGATGGCACCAGCGTGTCCGCAACGATGATGTGCGTAGGCGAGTACTAGGTGGTGATGATCATACTAGCTCCCTAGAACAACAGATAGCATTGAATAAATTACGTTGGCTCGGGCACGTGCTACGCATGTCTGGTCACCGCTTACCTAGGAGGGCCTTGTTCAGTCTACCAGGTGTCGGATGGCGCAAGGCTCGAGGTGGACAGAAGTTGACTTGGCAGCGGGAAATGAAGTCACTGACGACCAAACTGGGTGCCGTTGGTCCGTCTCGCCTTCCGTGTTGGAGTCCACGTGACTCACCTTGTGTTTGGCTCGAGACTTTACAGGACATGGCTCGCAACCGACACCAGTGGCGCGTCTGCTGCCGTCTCCTAATCGGATTGTCTGTTTAAAGTGTGTTTGGTGCTGAGTTATCTGCGGGGTAATGGCTGATTATGACGCGTGACAGTAAAAGCCGCAAGGAAGCTGTCTCGCCGATGCCGCCTTATCTTTGCACGATAGCCAGCTGTTTGTGACGGTATGTTGTCTACACAAGGTGTAGGCGTCTTGACCCTGAATGTTTGCTTAGGGCATTAAGGTTTTCAGGTAAGTCCCCCTTCTCTCCCTCTTCTTATTCTTTATTTCATAGGTCCTCATGGTTGTATGGCAGCGAAGCATCAGTTCAAATGGCTGATGTACTGCTGTTGATGATGATGATGATGTTGTTGTTAAACTGACATTTCTAGATTTTATGGGAAGAACGCTTGCAGGCTGGTACCATTTCGTGCCCTCTGTTCCCTTGCAAACGGACAACTTGTCCATTGATATGATGAGAAAAAATTAAACCAATACTTTGGAAGTAGGAGGTCATATGCCAGCAAAGTAAACAGTGGCTACAGGCCAAGGATATATCATTTATTCTAAGGAGTTTGAGAGTAGTGAACCGCTGCTTCTGGGCGCACAATATTGGACAATGATTTTTATGGCTACTACCTCGGCAAACTTGAGGACTGGCGTTTTTGTTACGATAGATGACACTTAACGCCGAGTTTGGGTCTACTTGACGATCCGTTTACATCTGGTGTTTCGTAAAGGAAGTGGCAGGTCCCGTTTGCGGCTGTCCTGTCATGGTAACAATAGACCGGAATATGCTCCCCCAAACCGCCTATACAAGAAACGCTCTGTTCTGCGGATGTAACTGCTTCCACTTCAAGCCACTTACGCTCAAACAGCGGGCCAAGTGCGGATGTACTGCGCAGTTGCCCTTTGTTATCACCAGTGGCGTGAGACAGGGTAGCCCAGCATCCCCTTCTTGTACAATTTTGCTATACACGAAGTCTTAAAGGGTGCCCTAGAGAAGTGCGAACGCAATAGCGTTTAACTGCTTCCGGGGGACCGATTTCGGGATTTGGAGCATTTTCACATCACCGTAATCTGCGCTTCCTCACGGGCCGCCCAAAATGCCCTGTGGATGTTGGAGCTGTCTGTCGCCCAGATTGTAAGGACCTTCGCACTAACGAAATGCAAGGTTTTCCTGCGGGACTGGCTAGGAGCTGCTCCTAACCTTACTATCCTAGCTCATTCATTGGAAGTGGTGGACAAGTCCGTTTCACTCAGAAGTTGTCTCAGTAACAGGACAGTGTGGATAAATCAGCTGGAAGACTGGTTCACGTCATTGTGTTCTACCTTCCCTAATGAGAGCTATGTGGACACATCGGTGGCTGAACACCACACTTGATGAGAAGTGGCGAAATGGTCAATTGTATTTCCGGTATCCATCCTCCACCGAACGATCATCCTTTTGATCTATCGGTAACTGCTATAAGACAGACATCGGCAGTACACTAGTAAGAAATATTGACGCTTCGCTGCCATCCCACTAAAACCAGTCGCGCGTGGACTAAGGATACTCTGAGGGTCGCTCGGTTCCCTTCGCACGTTCGAACTAGCGACGTCAGGGTTGCAAGGCAGACGCAAAGTTTGATTAGATGGCTATTTTGAAGTACATGTTGTGTGATTGGATTACGACGAGCAATCTCAATGTGGACCGGGATTCGCATTGATGTGAACCTTGGTCAATTCGATCACTAGGACACTAGCTGAAGCGTATAGAAATTGGGTGTTGGCCGCCCAAAAACACCGTGCACCACGACGCATTTCGCCTTTGTTTTATCGCCTCAGGTGGAGCTAGACCTTAAACCCGGGGCGATTCAGCCACCGAATCACAACGGGCAACGCTTGGCACAACGTTTAATGATTGGTTGTGCTAAGCGCTGCCTGTCATGACCCGGTGCCTCAAGAGGTAGATGCTGCAACTAACATCCCAATAGTCCCGGGTTCGAGGCATAAGGAGACCAAACAATGTCTAGCGCGTCCTGGTGTGCAATACCCGATTCCCAACTACAGACGCCTTGTCCTTTCAGCCACCTGCCGAGCAATTACTATTAATTACCAGAATTGCCATGACTAATATTACTGTTATCACTGTGGCAAGGTACACCACATCTGAGTGCTCAAACCATAGCTAGAAAACATAACACGAAAGGTAACAACTGAAGCGACGCTGATCGATAATTTCAAATAATTAAACTGTAATGTGTTTCACCGAATAAGCGATCATGAAGGCGGCCGCTCATCCGGTCGGCTGACGTACGGCCTTGTTTTACTGGGTGGTGGTTCTCATGTTGGGCCTTCTGGTCACATGTGAGATTACGGAGTAAATAGTAAACCAGTACAATGTGCTGCGCTCTTGGGCCACGGAGCTTATATGTTGGTTTACCATGAAAACACCGCCAGTAAGAAACTTTGTATCCACACAAGCAAAGCAGCACAACCAAGGAGATAATCACAAATACAACAAATCAAAGGCAAAGTTCGAAAAATGATGTTTGAATGCAATCTCAATGGGCATGAATTGCATAAAAATATGCAAAAAGCGCTCCAGCGGTAAAAAAAATTCAGTCGCTGGAAGAATGTTCAAACACATCCAGGTTGAATAGCAGGCAAAAAACACAAATTATAGTAGGTATCTTGCCTCCAAAACGATTGGTCCTTCCAACCGCACCAACCTTTGGCCAAGACGACCTTTAAGTCCCCAGAAGGGCCAGTGAAATGCGGGTCCAGGATGAGAAAACGTGGAGTGGATGCTTTACTATTGGGTGAATTCAGCACCGGTTCCTTCGGAACCTGTACACCGATGATTGTGTGCGCTAGTTGACCACCACCGATCATCACTGGACCTCCACCAGATGCGAAGTGATGTGCAAGCATCGTGGTTGCGGTGCGACTCAACTCGGCGCCGCGAGACACCGGTAACAATCTGCACTGAATGTTATACATCTCTTGCAGGCAGAAACTGACCTAGAGTTTGGAGAGAAAGAAAATGAAGTGGGTCAATTTGAAATGTTCGAATGAAGACTGCCAAGCGAACTTCACATTAAATAGAAATCGTTAACCCGTTACAATGTGTGATGCTGCGTCTAATATCATTGTGTCAACCTAAAGTTGCTTGCGATTCCCTAAGATCGTGCCCTGATGACCAATTATTTCCGCGATTAAGTAGGATACTAGATAAACCCGCCTTATATCGGGTGCTGGATTGTTCTACGGGCTATATAGATTGTTCGCAGAGCCTCCGTCCTTAGAAGAAGTGACATTAGCAGTGATTCAGGAAGCGCGGCAGAGGCTACACTGATGGTGATGTGGCTTAATTTGTTCACGAAACATCCGCAGCCAAAGTACCAAGCTCAGCGAACGATCCGGCATCCATATTCACGTCCCGAACCGGCAATATGTCCAAAAATTTCTGAACCACAGCGCCTTATGTGAAAACTAACAGGACTATATGCGAGCACGGCATAAACGAATGAAAGCATCACATTGATGGAGGCTATTTATGGAGGTACCTAAATTACTTGAGAATACATCTGAGTACGATTAGAGAAAACTGCAACTGCCCAAAGATGGGCCGAGACTTGCTGCAAAGACGAGTGCTGAGGAGCAGTTAGTTGGATAAAGCCATGAAAGTGATTGTTCCTAAGTTAATCGGTAAAATGAGGAGCTTCCAATGGCAGCGGTTAGTTATTCGAACGAAGTTGAATTCCGTGGGTTAAACAACCCTTCGCAAGACTTCAATGACAGGTTACGGTGAAGCAGCTGTGCCAGAGAGACTTGTCAGTCAAGTATATGGACAAAGACAAACGCGCGGTTCGGAAGCCGTCTTATTTGTAAGTAACGACGGAGGTGGTCATCAATCCAGTAAAGCGCAAAGATCAATGGCATGAGGACACTCATGAGCACGCAATAAAGTCGCGTAGTCGTAGGGCTGAAACTGGCGCTTACAAAACATTCATGTTTGCAGTGTCGTATAGATGAATAGGGTTTCGGTAGAATTCTTGATTGGTTGTCCGAGCTGAGCAACATGACTGTAGATGTTTCACCACCAATGGAAGTGGTATCTTCAGTGCGTAACAGCAAAAAAGCTTGTTAGCAGGCACCGAGCCTCAAGTGAATTCAGAGATCCGTCTCTGGATCAGTAGCACACTAGGAAAGGGCCGCCTGCTCTCTAAAATAGGATTCCATTCATCATCTGCAGAGGAACCCGGTCCACTGTTCCTCCGCTTATCCGATTCATCGTCGTACTTCCAATAGCAGACCCTGAGAAGGCTCATTATATTCAGTGACCTAACCTTCACATCACCAAAAACAACTTCGTTTTACGAAGAACACAGTGACATCTGCTGCCCCACGTAGCTTTGTTAGCCACCAACATGTGCAACTCTTGATCCAACCACAGCATCTTTTTGGCAACGGCTGGAACCTACCGTCCCCACACCTAGTACCCAGTTCTTGTCAGTTCAGTGAAGTATCTCTTCTTCAATCAGCTTATAAATCTAGTACGGTTATGCTAACCATACGGCAGCCTCAGCAATGCCATACCCCTACTAGCCAGTGCAGTTCCAATATTGCCGCACAAGCAAAACAATGTCAAGGTGTTTCCCATCAATGCTTGCTCATTGAATAATAAAATGCATAGAGTATCATTTGAGTGCTCATTCAAATCCTGAGTTAATACTCATCAACGAAACTTGGAAAACAATCGCAGCACTCCAGATGCGTTCTATTAAGTGGTGGGCTATTCACCAATCTTGAACAGCCAACACGTTGGTAAGGGAGCGGGTGTATTATTTGTGCTCGGGATCAGCTACGAACTCAAGTAATAGAAGGCCATCTACTCAACCTCATTAATGAATCCGTACGGATCTTCGCTGGGATAGACTGATCTCTATTTTAGTTGTATGTATTTATAAACCACTTCGTTATGGCACTTTAGTCTTGGAACATCTCACTTCCGCTTTTGAGTGTGCTTCACAGCTGTCTTTCAGTCTAAAGGTAATCGGGAGTGACTTGAATTTGTTAGAAATCTCTTGAGTATGATATACGGTATCACCAAGGCTGTTAAGCTGTTTCTGAAGTCCAGGTTCAAAGATGGACACAAGTGGTTCATAAACCAGCCAGGGAAGAAAACATTTTAGACCCCATATTTACACGAGACATCCACCCCACGTATGTCGATGTGTTATCTCGATTCCCAAACAGCGATCATGGAGATGCGTGCCTTAATTTGTTGGTACCCGATGCGGCCCGAGATTCCAATACAAGGCTACTAGTAGAGCCCCAGGGACGTTATAAAGTTAAACTGGGATACATTTGGTGTATTGCTGCTATGCGCATGTGCTGCATGGCGTTCGCAAATGAAGCAGTGGCATCAGTATGGGGAAGTCACTTCGAAGGAGGATGCGGTAGGTCATAGTGAGGTCGACTCGCACCCGACGATAAAGCGGGGTGTACAGTAGTCCCAGTCTCGCAACTATTTTCGTACGGAAAACCCCGTATACTGGAGATGAGCCTGGTAGTGACGTGTTGGACCTTCTGTGCTTCGCCTCGGGTGGGCGAGCCGTACTCTAGAATTGATCTCATGATGGAAGATACGAGGCGAGTGGCGACTTCTTCAGGCCAAGTGCGGAAGCTGCGTTTGAGTGCCCAAAGTATGCGCAGTCCGTTACCACATAGCCTGCTCCTATTGTCCACCGATCTCAAATCGAGTGCAATTACACCATTCACTGAAGCTGTGGAATGTAACAAGTGGCCGTCAAGGGCGTAGGTTCGGCCATCACCACCCTTCCGCAGGCGCATAAGTGCCGATTTGATTGGGTGGATCAGGAGGCAGACATCTCCAGATCTCATGGAGAGACGCTTGAGGTCATACTGAAGTGGGCCGAAACTGCCGGGGCTTCAAATCAAACTCCAAAGCTTCAGGTCGTCTGCAAACAGGGCATGCGGCGACCGAATAAGTGGAGGTACTTTGCTGGTGTGCATCAGGAACGAAATGCGCCCAAGTACTGTGTCTGGGGCTACGCCACTTGTAGAGGAATACCAGTTGGTTAGTTGGTTGTCGAACTGCACCTTCCACTCTCTTCCGAAGAGAAACCCGCGGATCCACCGTTGCAATGAACCACAGACAGCACACACTTGGGTTTTGGAGGAGGACCTCATGGTTCATCTTGTCAAACGATTTACTGAAATCGATGTAGATCATTTCGACAGAGTTTCTCTGGTTCACTATCCGCAGCGTCGTCAACAGCATGTTGGTAATGCATCAACAACTTGACATGAAACTGTGTTGTGCGGGCATCAGCTCTTTTGACTAAAACAGCTGCCACCTCGGCCAAAATAAGTGTCAAACAAATCGGCATATAATTGTCTACGTTGCGATGGTCATTACCTTTTGGAATCAGCCTTACAGTCGAGCAGTTTCAAACAATCGCCAACCAACCTTCAGACAGCGACCAGTTGAACATGTTAGTCACGGAAGGCGATATGATGGCTGAGACGGGCTTGAGAATTAGTGGGTGAAGCCTGTCATGCTCAGCGGGCTAGATGCCGTCATGGATTGGGAGTATTTCACGCACCTCTTCAATATCCCAGTCTGAAATGTCGAGTTGGGTAAGCGCGGTACAAATCGAACTTGTTACAATCATCTGTTCGTTTGTAAATACGGACGCACACTCAGTGCTGGAGGTTAGAGGCTGTCCGTCCGGGCGTTCCAACAAGGTTAGACTACGTGCTGGCCTTAAGCGACGCTTCACGTAAGCGAAGATTCTTTTCGATGGTGGGGGGGGGGGTTGTGGCGGTTACGAGCCGCTCTTCGACATGCCAGCACTTGCTCGTTTTCGCGACTGCAAAGACAGTTCTGCTTCCTACACTTTTCGCAGTCGTTGGAAGAGCCGGACAGAAGGAATTCACCTCAGTCTGCACCGCTGCTAAACCATTTTATCACCGTCCTTGTCAAACCAATGTGGCTGGATTAGTCCAACTTTTCGACACTTCAGTGATACAAATCGTGAACATAACGACATCAATCCCTCTCTTATGATCACAGAACGGTGCTTCACAGTTGGTTTGCGGCACAAACCACCGTCAAAATCAGTTTCCCGGTGCATAGGGATGCTGCAGTGGCAGGTCTATTTTGGCAATAAAAACTGAGTAATCACCTGATGCAAGTGGCTCCAGAATCCGGATGTTATACACAGATTGTTCACAGCTGGTTAACATCAAATCTAAACCCGATGGAGTTGAGCGCGGTATTATGTGCGTCGGTTGGCAGATGTGTTGTGATGCCCCAGTTTCAAATACCATATCAGCGAACTTAGCTTCGGCCTCATAATAATCGGTGGTAAGTTCAACTTCAAGCCATGAGTAGAAACGGGGGAGACTCATATGATCCCGGAGATGCGGCAGCCAATCCAAACAAAGGTTCAGGGGACCGCGATAATATGTGCTAGCTGCTCTCTGCACCTGAGAGGGATCGATCATCACAATTGCGCACACAGGCAATCGTTGCTTCTATAGGCGCCCACACTGAGAAGACCGGATGCAGCAAAACGCCAACGCGGGTATTCGATAGCCTATCACAGCGGAAGCATGAGTAACAAATAAACTCAACTTCTTGAGTGAATACCTCATCAATCAACCACGTCTCTGTGAGCCCCACTACATCTGGTGGCTCAAAATCAATGAAGCGGCACAGCTCATCAAGCTTGTTCATAGGTTTGCAGACGTTGGTAAAGCGCGCACGCAGGATGCGGTAAGCCACCGGATATGAGCGACCGATTTATCCAAAATCGTGTTCGTATTGTAACCACCCGAAAATTTGCAATCCGGATCTGTTTCTCCCTCGCCTGTTCGCCGCTTTAGCTTGATGATGGCACCTTGAGGCGCTTTCGATTAAATGGATCCATATCCGGACGAATATGCAACCACTCGTATCTCAGCCAACTCATCCGAGACAGTACTGGCTT